AAGTTCATCTCATTTAACATATCTCATTGTGTAGATGTCTGCGAGTTCATTCATCTCATTTGACATACATCTCATTGTGTTAATGCCTGTGAATTATATTGGGCATAGTACTAATAAACTCCCTAACTTCTTTATTTTAAGCTCATCCCTTACTTTTCCCTTACGCATTCATGCCTCCGGACTTATGATCAGGGAAGTACGGCATACTGTGAAGATTCAGATCAGACCAGTGTGAGTGATGAGAGTATATCGTCGACGATGCCCCTTGTTCGGATGATAGTTTTATTTCAAATTACACGGAAATCTGTGACTGTGAACAATCTGCTTGGTATTCCTGTGACAATTGTCCCATGATTTGCCAGTGCAGCCCCGTGAATACATGGACGAAAATGTTTCCACCACCACCCTACAGACTCAAGATTGCATACTCCAGCATCCAGACTTTGAAATGATTTGCACGCACAGTGCAGTATACTGAAAACAGCATTTATTAGACAGTTAGACATAACAAAAAAAAATGCCCGTCTCGATCAATCGCACATCCATAATGTTTGTATGTTGATATGCTTGTAAATGGTATTAATGTAAAAATCGAAACAACCTAGACTAGAAGTCAACTCACCAGTCCAGCCAACTATGGCTCCCTAAGTTGTTTATATTTAATCAGATACTATTTCGTCATCATGTTTGTTACCTTTCCTGTTTATACCTCATGAGAGCGTTTTTTTATGGCAAGATGGCGCAAACGGAAGTCCTTCGCAGGTTTATGGTTTCTCATATTTAAATCATCATTACTCTGAAGATAATATTTTTTTTAATTTTTTTGTTTCAAATTTATAACCAATATACATAACTTGATAAATACAAACACCAAATTAGGCTCTATTTAGTTTCCCTTTAATAAAGCTTTTTGAAAGTCAATTCTGTGTGTTGATACTGTCACTGAAAGCTGATCACTAACCATGGACTTCAAAGATGATCGATATTTAGACGCCATCCAAGCATGTCATGTTTTGTGTTCAGTCTTAATTAGCCCAAAAGAAACACACGTTTTATTTGCCAATTTTTTTAGTATTTCTCTTATTTTGAATAAATACGGGGTAGAAAAGTGTTCTATGTTAGTGCACAGAAATAGCAAATAATTTAACTAAGGATGTATTTATCTGTATGAAACCATTTTAATTAATTTTTATTTTATTTTGGTGATTATTCGATTTTCGTGCTTGTAAAAAATCGTATATGTAAGTATGGCAAGAATCCTTAAAATTAAAAACAGTAGGGCCAAAGTATCTATCTACCCTGAGTTCTATTTCTTATGGAATTTGTGATACTTATCTTTCAAATCCATTCAAAACAACAAACCCATTTCAATAGTAGTTAAATCAATGAGCGCAGTAATGACGCCATTTGAAAATGTTCTCGTGTTAGTTCTATCAACCAATAAAAACCTCTAGTTTCAGTTTGAAATGTGAAATTTATAAATATTGTTAAAAGTGAACAGAATGTTGTATGTGACAACAGTATCTATGAATAAAACGTAAATGTGTCTATTATTCGACTGTGGTCGAATGTCAAATCAATTTGTGTGACAAAAATTCAGGGTCTGCTCTGGTAGAAAATGGAGCATGGAACTTCATTAAACTTTGTTTAAATATAAAGATGACCAAATCTTATTAGACACAAATACATGAGCAAAGTGTCCCTAACACAAGGCTAATATCACATAAAATGCCAAAAACCAAGCATTGTGTAGACACCATTTCATTGAAAAAGTTCATGTGATGGAGACCGTGAAGAATTATAACAAATACTAATAGAGGAAATTACAGTGAGAGGCCATCATAGAATGGCTTAGCCTCTCAAGATGGCAACATATTTGCCATTTTGCCCAGGGTCCTCCAGTAAGTTGATATCTTGTACTGTAATCTTTGAGGTTCACTTAACAAAAACTGGATTTCTATTTCATCCTCTAGGGACTCTGTAACCATCTATTTTCAATTGCAAGAAATTATGTACAATATTGGTATATAGCATATATGCTATGTAGTAAGTGTCCACATTGCCAATCAACACTAATAACATAGGAAATGTTTTATTAAAAATACAAAAAAAGATCCACAGTTACAGCTATTGCAGTAATCAGGTCTAGTAAGGACAATTAAACATCTAAGCAATTTGGAATGTCTAAATTTCGATATTAATATTCATATTTTCAAACTGTGTTTCAATTAAAGTTCTGCTGTAATAACTTGTGAGTTGTGGATTCAAACACAATTTCCTCACCATAACTGCCATTAGACTTAGCTCACAGGAAAAAATCCCTGGTCACTTTCCTTGGCGAGGAATTTCAAAGTCATATTGTATTTTTAGAGAACATGTACGTATTTTATTGCTATATTCATTAGTATAAAGTTTTATCCATGTTATTAAACATTAAACATTAATAGTAATTTGTTACATTATTTTACCTGCATTATGAACATATCTGATAGTAAAATTATCCTAACTTTGAGCTATACAACTGATTTCAACAACCGAACACAGTAAAATTATTGTAACAATGCTAATAAACATATTGCATGATTTCAACAACTGAACATACTTACACGATTGTACAAAAATATATTAAATGTGTTTTTCAATTATTATTAGTTATTACTATTCAGTGCTATCCAATATTAAAATAAAACTACTATGGTTTCATACGTAGAAACATAAAAACAAAACTATAAAGGATTCGTATTATTTCCTAGAAAAATTCAATGTAAACATCATTACAGAACAAGGATGGTTCTGTTAATGGAAATAACAAAAACATAAAACATATCAGACCCAAAATAAAAGCCAGGCAAATTATGACAGATTTTGGTTGACTATATGAAGTTATCATACTGAATGCTGGAAACCCCATCACATTGCAGAAACTGTGACATATCACTGGAGCAGTTAAATGACCTAGAGACAAACAAACACACAATATTAAGCTAGTAATTAATAACTGGCAATATAACTTTATGTGCATAGATAGGTGGACACAAGTATAACACAAAATGATTTTTCAAAATGCATCAATATGTGTACTACAATTACCAGCCCCTCCAAAATACAGACAAATTTAGTACTCACCAGTTCTTAAAAATAAAAATGCAGAAAATGCACCAAAGATAGTTGTGTATGTAAACTGGAAAACTGTCACAAAAAAACAAAAAACAAATACAGGTTAGATCTACT